AGATAGTTTTGTAAACTTGTCATCAGTGTGATAAGCCATAGATAGGTATGGTTTTTTTGGGGGGGACAGGAAGTGGTCCCCAAGATAAAATCTGGTGTGGGGCCTGGCCCACGGAATTATAGCCAGATGAGGCAACAGACCGTGGTCTACTAAGTGTAAGTCGTCACTTTTTACTTATAAACCAATCGGTATTATATGGTTCCAAAGCTCATAATAATTGGCTGTCACCGATATATGAGTGGATTTCACGTGGGTTTAGTAACAGTTCTGTCCGTGAGAACTTAAAAAGCTCTAAGGACATGAGAGTCTCCTAGTGTGGACACAGGTTGGCCCAGAAAGACTCTGCCTTGGGCTATCTAAGGATGTGAGAGTATCATGGGAACCCACGGGAAAGGGGGAGAAAACCTGCCTGGAGTCTGGCCCAGTGGCAATCTCTGGGGGGTTGCTCACCTGTGGTAAATTGGGTCGGTGTTGTTTGCAAACCAGCAGTGACAAGTTTATAGCTCCTGAGTGCAGAAGTGAGGAATTAATGCAGAATGTAGTCCAGTCCTGGTCCTGAACGGCAGGAGACACAAACTGGGAAAGCCCCAGGAGTCTCTCATCTGCCGTTCTGGATCAGGGAACCATGTGATAGAACTGTGGGGGACCGGGGGCAGCTGAAAAGATAAGAAGTATGAAATATAAGTGACCTTTATTTTGAGAATGCGGGGAGAGACACCCCCGATCCCCTGGGCGCGGCATCTCCCCCTGCGGTCAGCGATCTCTCCGTGGAACACGTGGAGTGGAGGCATATAAGTAGCCTAGGTTTGGGGTGGAACCTAAGGGGCATTAGTGATGCACAGGTAGCCCATTGGTATTCTTTTGGCACCATAGGTAAATTCCTAGGGGTGGGGAGATGGAGCTCTTTGGTTCCGCCTGAGGCTTTACCAGCTACAGTGTCTTGTCTGGGCCAAAACTCTTTCAGCTATAACACAGAGAAAAAAAATATGTGGTGTAACACAGAGAAAAGGACCTGGAAAACATAAAAGAAGGGGCAAGAAATGAAAATGACCAGCATCTAATCAAAGCTCCAGGGCCCCAAATGGAGAAAATGGAAGAAAACAGTCTGAGAAGAGATAGATAACAGCTGTAAAAGGCTGAGCTGACCCCAAGCAAGTTAAGTCAAGGGTACCTGTATCTTAACTTGCTGCTGTGGAAGTGCAGACAACAAAGGTCTGAGGGATATTTTAGGAATAGGTAATTCTGTTAGAATAGCACTCAGGGGCCAGGTAATTAGCTCAGCAGCACAAGTGCCTGCCTGGCAAGTGTGAGGTTTTAGGTTCAATTCCTGGTCCCCAAAAAAGAAAAAAGAAAGAAAGGAAGAAAAAAAAAAAGCACTCAGTGCTCCCAGCAATAGAGTCAGAAAGACAATAAAATGTTAAAAGCACTGCAAAAGAAGCTGCCAACCAGTGGGTGCCTGTAAATCTTACCCACAGGAAGCAAGAAGTTTTCAGATAAACAATGAAAGAGATTGTTCTTTTGTTTGCTCACCATATTCTCTTTCTTCTCCAGCTATCCAGTTGAGATGTAATGCATACAATGGGAGAAGTAGGCTGTAAATATTTGTAAATCAGTAATTGTCAGTCAAGGTGATTTTTGTACCATAGGAAGGGTGCATATGCCTGGCACTATGTGCCTGGCACATAGTGGGTAAAGGGCAGAGATGCCGAGATGCTGATGAACATCTTACATAGGACACCTTCCTACAATATGGAATTAAGTATCTGGCACAAGAGTCATTGGTGACAAAATTGAGAACCCTTGGCATAAATGAAAATTAACTCTAAAGTGATGTTTAAAACTGACTTCCACATAGACCTACCATATTCCACCCACAATTTTGTGTATGTTACTTGTAGTATAAAAACTTACTTAATTCCAAGTCCAAGGTGTGGAGTACGTAGGTAGTATTGTTCTCTCCTTTCTAACAGATGAAGAAACTGAAGCAATGAGCTGTAAGAGTTGAGATTTGCATCCAAGTGTTCTACTTTGTAGTCACTGCACAGAACTTGTTTGTCCTGACTCTTTACATAGTTTCTACTATGAAGGGCTCAGATAAATGAGGAATGAAATAAATGGAAGTCAGAATGGGACTATGCCATGAATTGCAGGTCTGTCACCCACATGTAAAAACTACTTTAAGTTATAGTTAGTAAATTCAACTAGGCATGATGGCATACACCTGTAATCCTAGCACTCAGAAGGCAGAGTCAGGATAGTCTTCAATTGAAGGCTAACCTGCGGCCTACACAGCAAGACCCAGTCTAAGAAAACCAGAATAATTAGTAAATTGGAGAAAAAGATTAAAATGTTGGTAAGATTTAGACTATAAGTTAAGTATATACAATAAAATTAAGAAAGAATTGCTAAAACCATAGAAATTTATAAATTTCAAAGCAATAGGAAAAAAGGAATAAGGAAAACAAGTCACAAAATCCAAACAGCATATAAAAATCCAGTCCAACCATTCAGTGAAAACAAAGTTTTAAAAAAGAGAAAAAGCAGAGAAAATGGTAAACAAATAAAAATAACTTGAAAAATATATGTTATCATAAGCTTTTCTGGTAAAATATAGGAAGTGTGAGATTGAATAGAAATGAAAGGAAACAGTACACTAGATAATCCTTCAAGGACACTCCTATAGCTGGGCATGGTAGCACATGTCTGTAATCCCAGCACTTGGGAGGCAAGAGGGTCGTGAGTCTAAACCAGCCTGAACTACATGTGAGATCTCATCTCAAAAGAAAAAGAAAAAGGAAACATTTCCATAGCAAGGCTTAGTGGTGTGTGCCTATAATCCTAGCACTCTGGGCAGTGGAATCAGGTGGATCACAAGTTTGAACCAGTACTGAGTTCATCCCCAGTACTTTACTTTTAACAGTAAAAAGCCTGTTAGATGCAAAAAGATAAGAAAAGACGAACAACATGTACCAGTATCTCAGTTACTTCATAAAGATGTATTGGGAAAGTACCTCAGTTTTTTTGATTATTGCTAGTTAAGCAGACAAAAATTGGTACATTTATAGTAGATCCAAACAGTTTAATGAACTTCATCTAAGCACAGATTGGAACAAATGTGTTTACAAAAATAAACTGTAAAGTGAGTCTCAACAATTTCAAAGTATTTGTCATTAACATGCTTTCTGACTATTAAACAGAAGTCTGTAGCCAAAGGATAAATTTAGGAGTTCTAGAAAGTAATCATTACGTACTGCAAACATGTATAAAAAAAAAAATTGAAAAAAGCCAAAGAAAACCTGCTATACAAAAAAAATTTTAACACCTACTCAGAATGGCTAAAATAAATCATGATAATGTCAGTTGCTGGTAGTAGAGAAACTGAATTGCTCACATGCTGAAGGTGGGAATGTAAAGTTGCACACCTCTTTAAAGTGTGCGCCTTAGCCACCTCCTACTCTTGGGCAGTTATCCCAAAGAAATGAAAGTGTCCTGTGAAAATATATGCATATAAGCACCTGCCTTGCAAGCAGGCAGTCGTGGGTTCGATCCCTGGTACCGATAAAAAGGAAAAAGACAAAAAATATATATATATGCATAAATATTCATGGCTATATTTGGAGTAGCCCAAATCTACAATCACTTCAGACATTCTACATTGTGTGCATGGTCAAAGATATATATTCCATGGAATACTACTTAGAAATAAAGGAGAAACTATTTCCATTATTACAGCCTGAGTGATCTTCAGAGAAATACGCAGAAGTGGAAGAGAAAGTCACAAAAGGATTCATGCTGTGTGGTTCTACTTACTATGTAACTTTTTCCCTTAGCTATTCTATATAATTTTAAAATGACAAAACTTTAGAAATGGAAAATACAATAGTGGTGGCTAGGGTTGGAATAGTGGATTGATGGGAACTAAGTTTTGTTGATGGGAACCAATGGATCCTTGTGTATTAGAACTGTTCAGTGCCTTGCTCAAATGACAAAATTGCTTTGTGTAAGAGTTTAGTAAACATACCCATACAAATGGAGTATTCTCTTTGTGATATTGTAACCTGATATTACCATGAAAACTGGGCCAACCACAGAAAAGTTCTCTCTGTGTGTTTTGTTTTGTTGGTTTTGTGAGACAGTCTCATTATGTAGTTGAGGCTAGCCTTGAACTAAATGTGTAGCTCAGGCTGGTTTCAAACTCACAGCAATCTTCTTGCCTCAGCTTCCTGAATGCTGGGGTTATAGTCATGTGCCACCATGCCTAACTTTTGATATATAATTCTCAGTAGCATATAATCTACCATTCAAAAGAAGCTTTTGGTATATTCACAGAGTTGCGGTACCATCACCATAATCAAGTTTAGAACATTTTCATCACTCCAAAAGAAACTTCAACACAGAAAATGTTATTATTATTTATATAAGAATTATTCACAACACCAAGAAGTAATAACAACATAAATGTCAATCAGCTGATGAATAGATTTTAAAAATGTGGGAAACTCACACAGAATATTATTTGTCAATAAAAATAATATCAGTAAAGCTATTAACATTCTAAAATTTAGGTAAATTTTATAATTATTTTACAGAATAAGCCAGTCACAAAACAGCATATTTCTCTTAGCCCACTTACATGAATGCCAGAATCAACAAGTCCACAGGTAAAAAGAGATCAAGTACATTAGCGGTTGCTTCTTGCCTATAGTAAAGACTTAGTGGTCCCTTTTCTTTTTCCTTCCTTTATTTTTTTAACTGTATGTATCTGCTCCTAATTTAAGTAAGTTCGTAATTGACATAAATGCCACTTCTTATCTGAGCTGTCTCTGGTAAACAAGTTTTCAGATCCTGCAGCAGCCTGGGCAGTGTGCCTTCCTCAAATACCCTTTCAGTATGCGTAGCAACTGCAGCACCGAGGCCTTGGCTTGCTGCTGCTTTCTTTACTGTGCAGACCTGGGGCAGCTGAGGGATGTCATTGGCCTAAATCTGAGTCTCTCCTCCAGCCCAGCTGCAGCTCCAGCAGGTGGCACTGCAGCAGCAACAGCAGCAGCAACAACAGCAGCAGCAACAGTTCCAGCAGCAGCAGGCGGCACTACAACAGCAGCAGCAGCAGCAGCAGCAGCAGCAGCAGCAGCAGCAGTTCCAAGCACAGCAGAGTGCCATGCAGCAGCAGTTCCAAGCTGTGGTGCAGCAGCAGCAACAGCTGCAGCAGCAGCAACAGCAGCAACAGCATCTCATTAAGTTGCATCATCAAAATCAACAACAGGTACCAGGTTCCCTGTTCCTGTACCGGGCTCCCTCTTGCAGTCGTTGAGCTCGGACAGGCACAGCCATGGTGTTGGGTGTGGGAGCCCAGAGCTAGTCAAGGGTCCTTCTTCTTGTTTTTTTAAATTTTATTGCTATACTTTTGATATAATGACCACATTCAGCATAGGGAATTGTACCTGTGCATAATATATCTGGATCCTTCTGTATTCTGTACTCACCTTTCCTTCCTTTTTTCTCTCCTTGTTTACAAAAGCTTTGGTCCTATTTTTTCTCATCTATCCTCCACTCTTGCATCCTTTGTTCCCCTTCCCACTTGAACAACTTCTTCCTATTTCCAAAATGTCCTTGACAGGTGCTGCCTGCCCTCCTCTGTAGGTTTCCCACAAAGTAGGACTGGCAAGAAAAATAGGCCCTGACTGGTGGTGCTGCAGTTATTGAGGAGGCCCTCTTAGTTGTGCGGCCTGGCACAGGCTGCTGCATGCTATGAGGCATTAACTGAAATAAGAAGGGAAGACAGACACTTTAAGACTCAGGGATGCTTGAACTGTTTGTTTTTTCAGTACCAGATATTGAATTCATGACCTCATGCTTGCCAGGCAGGTGCTAGGCCACTAAGCCATATCCCTAGCACTATAGGTGCTTAGTTGGTTGATTGGTTGGTTTTAGGACATAAACATGCCTCTTATTCTGGCTCTTAGTGTCTGGGCACTGTATCAGGTGACCTCTAGCTGGTGTTTGTAGGACAGTGACAATGTCACACTGGAGCCCCTGCTGGTCAGAAGATGTTTTGTTTTCCTGTGGCTTGCAGTCAAAATCTAGACATGTGAGCATCTGTCCTCTCCGCAGGTGTTAGTTGAGGGAGAATTTTGCACCTGCTGGCCCCTCTTTTGGAGGGTCCTCTCCCAGAGATGGTTAAATCTCAGCCCCACTTGTCTTCCTCATTGTGAAAAGTAGTTGGAAGCTTACACTGCTGACCACGCCAGGCACAAAAACAGCAACATTGGAGAAGCTGCAGAAATCTGCATTTGCCTAAGCTTTTAGCTTACCTTCTTTGGAATTGTACCTACTATTGTTCTTTCCTAAACCTTTTAGGTATTTCCCTTGAGCCATTCCAAGAGTGGATCAACCTTCAGTGGCAAGACCACAGACACATTTGGTCTGTTCTTGGTATCTAGAAGACACCTGGTATTGGCCTCAAGGGTCCAGGCCACTTTGCTTGGGACCCTTGCCCATGTGAGAGGTCAGCCAGACAGGCCTCCATGAAAGTGATGTTCATGCCTTTGGGCCTTGTGGGGCTGAGGCTGGCACTGGAAGGAACTGACAGCTGAGAGACTTCTGGATCGTCTCTGAGTACTACTTTTCTTGTCCCTAGATACAGCAGCAGCAACAGCAGCTACAGAGGATGGCGCAGCTGCAGCTGCAGCAACAGCAACAGCAACAGCAGCAACAGCAGGCTTTGCAGGCCCATCCACCAATACAACAGCCACCCTTGCAGCAGCCGCAGCCTCCCCCTTCCCAGGCCCTGCCCCAGCAGCTGCCACAGATGCATCACCCACAGCACCATCAGCCTCCACCGCAGGCTCAGCAGCCCCCAGTGGCTCAGAACCAACCATCACAACTCCCCCCACAGTCACAGAGCCAGCCTTTGGTGTCACAGGCTCAAGCCCTTTCTGGACAGATGTTGTATGCCCAACCACAGCTGAAATTTGTAAGTACCCAAATCCCATAAGTGAGGCATATGCATCTCTTCTCATTGTGTTGCATATGGCTGTGACTCGGTCCTTTTTTTATACACTGGAACTTGCGCAACCCTCATGTTGGCCCACCCATCTGGTTTTACAGCACAGGCCAGTGGGGACTGTATATCTGAGAGCTTTTACAGCCTGTATGGCAGTATCTTACCTTCCAAGCTGTGTGGCTGACATTAGCAGTATCTGTGGGCACTTGAAAGTGGTGGATCATTGGGGAGGACGTGCTGGAGCAGTTGGGTGTCCATGGTGCTTTACTTACTGTTTGGAATTACATCTTAAGTCAAGATCTTTTCTTATTCTTCCTGAATACAAGACCTTTACACTGAGCTACACCCCCAACTCTTTTTTTTACCTATATTTTATTTTATTTTTTTATTCCTTGATAAGTCTAGGTTGGTCTTGAACTTGTGATCCTTCTGCCTCAACCTCCTAAGAATGATGGGGTTATAAGCATGTAGTATCTTGCCTGGCTAAGACTGTTTTTGAAATTTTTACTTTCTTTGGTGCTGGTGATGGAACGTAGGCCCTAATGCATGCTATGTATATGTTCCACCAATAAGCTACACCTTTAGGTCTTTTTTTTTTTTTTTTTTTTTGTCTTTTTGAGACAGGGTCTCTCTATGCAGTTCAGGCTGGCCTTGAACTCACTTTGTAGCCTAGGCTGGTCTCGAATTTGCAACAATCCTCTTGCCTCAGCCTCCCTAGTGCTAGGATTACAGGTGTGAGCCACCATGCCCGGCATATTTTTAGATCTTTGAAAAGCCTTGTCATTTCTATATTTTTGACAGGGATAGTCACATAAAATATTGTGATATTCAGTCTCATTCTACATCTCTACACGGTAAATCCAGTCCATAGCATTTACATAACAAGGTGTTGTCACCAAAATGGAGATAACTATGACATCCCAGTTTTCTTGCTTCTGGGGTTTTGTTTTGTTTTGTACTGGGGATTGAACTCATGATCTTGCGCTTGCCAGGTAGACGCTTATGCTGCTGAGCTAAATCTGGCCAGATTTTTTTTATTTGTTTGTTTTTGGTTTTGGTTTTTTGGTTTTTTGAGACAGGGCCTCACTTTGTAGTTTAGGCTGGTGCTGAACTAACTAATCACTAAATAGGCCAGGCTGGCTTCAAGCTGTGGTGATCCTCCTGCCCCTGCCTTCTGAGTGCTGGGATTACAGGTATGTGCCATGGTGCCCTACAGTTCCCTTGGTTTTTTTGTTTGTTTGTTTTGTTTCTTTTCTTTCTTTTTTTGTCTATTTTTTTCTCTTTCACTGTTTTTGAGACAGTGTCTTGCTGTGTAGTCCAAGGTTGACCTTAAACCCACAGCAACCTTCCTGCCTCATCCTCAGTGATGGGATTACAGTCATACAGCACCAGGCCTGGCTCGAATTCCCTTGGTTTGTGACCTTTTTCTATTTGTGATTTATTGAGTGGCAATTAGAAATGTCACCTAAACTGAATGTCATAAGTGAAGAAGAAGCCGAGCGTGGTGGCTCATGCCTGTAATCCCAGCATTTGGAAGGCTGAAGCAGGAGGATCGTTGCGAGTTCGAGACCAGCCTAGGCTTCAAAGTGAGCTCAAGGCCAGTCTGAACTGCATAGAAAGATCCTGTCTCAAAAAAAAAAAAAAAAAAAAAAAGAGGCCCCCTGCATTAGGTTGGGAGGCTTGAGGGTCATAAGGAACAGATATGAAACAGTGGGAGTCAGCCCACTGGGACCTGAACCTTTGTGTGATAGGCTGTTTTCCGTTGAGATTGGGTCTGGTGATCTAGAGACACTGAAGGAGAAACAACCTGCCTGGCTCTGACTGGGGCCTACCTTGTCCCTATGAAGGTTTCTTTGCATTTGGTCCTATGTTGTCTGCTTTTCTTTCCTGAGCCTTTTACCTAAGCTCGTCTTTCTAGCTGAGCTGCTAGCTGGTCAGTCCTGGTTTTTTTCCTCCTGTACCATCAGCATGTTTGGCAAGAGGATGAGCAGGCTAGCTGTGCAGTTGGCTTTTCAGGCCATCCTTCTGCTCCCAGTGACAGCTGGCATGGTGGGTGACTGGAGAATCGCAGGCAGAAGGTTGTGCTGCTTCTCATCAGAGTTAGAGGAGTTAGCTTTTCTGTGCTGAGAGCCTGGCTGGTGAGGAACATTTCTTATGACATTGTGGTATCAGTGACAATCACTAACAGTTACGTCATCACCTGTGGAATCATTGTAATCTCATCCTCCATCTCTAGAAAGGCTCAGTTGACTTAGTTGACATCTTAGTTGACATCTCTTTGCCACTGGTGCACACAAATGCTAGGCGCTCTGCTCTCTGCCCCAGGTGATTCTAAATGAATTCTTCTTTCATCCCTCCAGGTCAGAGCTCCAATGGTAGTCCAGCAGCCGCAGGTACAGCCTCAGGTACAGCAGCAGCCAGCAGTGCAGACAGCACAAGCTGCCCAGATGGTGGCTTCTGGAGTCCAGGTAAAGGCCTTCGGAGCTGAGGGCCTCTTGAGTCTCTAGCTGGTGTGTGTCCATCCACCCATGGAGTTCTATAGCAAGGGTCTGGTTTGGTTTAGGGGCCAAGCTGGTAAAGCATGGGGAATCCTCGCTCCCTTCCACTTTTTGAGACATCTCTAATGTCCTCTTAAATAGCTCGCTGTGTTCAGTCACAGTTGGAACCTTATCAGCTGTGTATGTAATGCATGTAGCTCCCATTTTACTCCCAGGAAGGTGCATATGAGAGAATAGCAGGTCTTCATCTTCACTTCTTCTTCCATTTGAAGAACCAGTGGCTGTGGGAAGCATCTCCCCTGAAAGGAGGAAGATGATGGGAATAACAGTGGGCACGTAGACACGGGCAGACACAGTTGTGCCATACAGGAGCATGGGAATGGGCATTTGGAGGCTGCCTCTTTGGGAAGGCACAACTGACATATCACTGTCCAACCTTGCTCATTCCTGTTCTCTCTAGGGATGACAGGATGCAGGAGGCTTTGCCTAGCCTTTCCTGGTGTCTGGGAGTAGACACCCAGGGTTCCTGTGACTTGGCTGAGGTACCCACCACATCTTCATACTAGTGACTACTATGCAGGGACATATCTAATAGGAATCTTGATTCTTGCTGTGTTTATATGGTAGTAGAAGCACTCCTAGTCCTGAATTGGAGATTGGCTTTAGAAGTACACAGAATGTGCTAGCTGATAAGGGGAGGCTGTTGCAGTTTGAGCCTCAGCTGGTGCTGTGACCATACTTTGCTGCCACCAGGAGGCTATCTAACTGGCTTACCTGGAAACCAGCTGAGCTGAGTCTGGCTCCCCAGCTCTGTTGACCGATGTTTCACACTGAGGTGGTGGCTCAGAAGTTTCCCTTCTTTCCTTACTGCATTGCTCAAGGGCTGGGACACTACCTTGGAGAGAAGCATGCCTGTGTGGGAACCTGAAATCTTGTGCTCACCTACCAGCTCCCTTGCCACTGTACCAAGTGACTCAGGCCCGGTGTTCCTCTACTACCCACTACTACATGAAACACACCATAAGCTTCACATTTGTGGTAGAGGCGGCTGACCATCCTTGTGAGGTTAGAATCTATGTCACCACCATGTGTCTCAGGTCACCTGGAGGATTCCCTCCTCTTGGTTGCCTGTGCAGGGGAAGGATCTGGTTTGTGTTCAGGCAGCAAAGTTGCAGCACAGTAGTGATGGTTCTGAAAGCATAAGCCACTGCCCACTTCCCTTGCCACTATGCATCCCCATTCCAGGACCTACTTGTTGGAAACCTCTGTACTTTTAGTCTGGCCCAGTGGCAAAGAGATGTTCTCTTCACTTTTCTTTCAGTGTTTGGAAAGCAAATAGCTGCACAGTAGGCCACAGTATGTGTGAATGATGTGGGCCCATTCTGCCAACTTGCTCATAGGCTGCTAGCTCAAGGAAATATATGCCCTGTCATCACTCCAGTGTCTCATCAGCTGCCAGAAGCAGGATGCTGGGTGCCTGTGCCCAGTCCCCCACACTGAGCCTGTGTGCAGGGCATGGTTCTGCTGGTGTGGAAACGTGGGCCAGCCATGGGCAGTTACCTCTGGAGTACACACCTTAACTGTTAATGTTTTTCCCAGCCCCGTGTTGACAGTCAGTGGCAAGTAGAGGGTCAAAGTAGACTCATATCTTTCTATTTAGATAGAACCAGTGGAAAGATCGCAAAGGTCTTTGATAGCCATGAAAGGTAGCACCTAGTCACCTCTTCGGTTTATTTCCAAATGGGTTTGGTTTATTGAGGACCACATCTTCAATATTTTTAGGTCTATCATCCACCTGTTCTGCAGTATGTACAGGTCCAAAAGCAATGGGGCCAAGCAGCTTTGGATAGAGACCTCCAAAACCGAGCCAGAGTAAACCTTACCTCTGTAATGCGTTTACCTCACATGTTTTGTTGTGAGGTAAACACAAAACTGGTCTGCAAGGTGGTATTTTAAGGCATACCATCCACCTGACCCTCAGCACCTTGCATTGCTGGGCAGTGAGATGCCCAAGTGCTGGTGGCAGAAGGAGCCTCATGGGTTCTTGAAGCCCAGAAACAAGTGATATGCATCTGTATTCTGCCCTTCAGCCCAGATGTGACACACAGATTCCTCACCTTCTATGGGTTTTGGCGCAGTCTTAGAGCTTGCCACTGTGCATGGCAGTTGGAGACTGGTTTCATGGAGACTGACTGACATACCTCATTGCATTGTCCTAGCAGCAGCCGGGTACTAGGTTACGGCTGGGTGGCCTGGGGATGACACATCCTCTTAAGGGGAACATTTTTTGATTTATAACCTTCCTTTGAAACTTGAGTTGTCATGATGGACAAGATTAACAAGTATGGTAGTTCTGGAAGATAGAAAATGGAGAGATGTGTAAGAGAAACAGCCTTGAGGGGGAGAAATGGTACAGTGTCTTTTCTGGTTTTCTTATATCATCAAAGATGTACTGTCCATAGGAATTTGTTTTGTGTGAGTCTGGAGGTTGAACTTAGGGCCTCATGGGTGCTAGGCATGATCTCTACCACTGAGCTACGTCCTCAGCCCCTTTTTCTTTATTGTTGAGACAAGATCTCACTAAGTTGCACAGGCTGATCTCCTGCCTCAGCCTCCCAGGTAGCTTGGATCACAGATGTACATTCTTGCTCTGGGTCTCTATTGAGTTCTGTATGTAGTGTCTTCCATGTTAGCATAAAAGTGAAATGTTTCCCTATGTGTTAGTCATTTTTATGTTGCTATTAACAAAATATTTGAGGTACACAGTATATACAGGTAAGGTTTACTGGGCCAAGTTTTGGAGGTTTCTGTCCATGGTTGCTTGGCCCTGTTGCTTTTAGACCTGTGGACAAGGCGACACATCTTGGCATGAGCCCATGTGGAGCAGAGTCACAACTTCACAGCAGCCAGGAAGCAAAGAGAAGCAGGAAGAGACTGATATTCCAGTTTCCTTTAAGCGCATTATCCCACTGACCCAAAATCTAAGGTCTGCCTCTTGTTGTTGTTGTTGTTGTTTTAGGTCCCACCTTGTAAAGGTCTTTACCATTTTCCAATAGTCCCAAGCTGGGGACCAAACTTTTTAAAGATTTTTTTTTTGTGGTACTGTGTGTTGAAGCTAGGACCTCATGCATACAAGCAAAGCACTTTATCACTGAGCTTCAATCCCAACCCGTTCATTTTCTTTTAGCCAAAAATTAAATTGAAAACAGAAGCTACCAATTGGTGACTCACTGTCAAGTGATGGCATTTTGAAACTTTCTGACACATAGCTACCCAGAAAGGAATTCAAGGAAACCCCACCCTTGCCTAAGCTGCAGCCCTGGCTTATTTTGCTTTGGTCACTGTTCTGAAAGGCTTGGAGGGAGGAAAAGAGAGGTCGTTCTCTGGGGCTGGTGAAGGCTCACTCAGAGCCTTTGTACGTCAGCTTTGTCACATGCATGTCCATAAGAGATGTCTGTTTTTGATGACACTTCTCTGCAACCTACAAAATAAAGCTAAGTTTTCATATATAAGAAGACTTGAAAGTTGAAAGAAAAAGTAAAGGAATTGTTTCATAGTGGATACACATTCTGTCCTGCTTTTGTAGAGGAAAAAGAGAAATTTTTTGTGTCTTAGTAAATCCCACTGTGGATGATATTGCCCCTCACTATATGAGTGAAAAAGCCAACACAATAACACAAAAGGATCACTGCAAGTTCAAGGCCAGCAGGGGCTACATAGTGAGCTTGAGGCCAACTAGAGCTATATAGGGAGACCCTGTCTTAAAAATCAAACAAAAAAGCCAGGTGACCACAGCATAGGGCTATAGGAACACCAGTATTGTCTCGTGAACTATACCCCCAGCAAGAAGTATAAATTGACAAGGTCATGACTGGTGCTAGAATTACCACCTAGCGATCATCTTTGATGTTTGGGTACTGACTTCACTCATGACTCTGGAGGTAACCTTCCTCAGAAGAGGCCCTCTGGTGGGAGCTGTGCTTTTCTGCCCGCCTTCTCCCCAGTTTTTAGTTACAGAACAATTCCTCCATAGATGCTAGGATTAGCAGCTCCAGGGAGACGTGGAGTAGTCGAGGGTGATTTGGGGCTCTGAGAGGGCTCTTCTGGGAAGGAATACTGCTCTGAGCAAGCTTATCTGAATGTGGCTTCTGTGTCAGTGATGGTCAACTTTTCTTATACCAAGCCTCAGTGGCTTTCCCCTTTCCCAGCTTATCCCAAGAGCCTGGTCTTCCAGAACCTCTGCCTTGCAGTCTGGCTCTTACTCTCTGGGCAGGATTCTGCTCTGTCCATAACTCTGGAATGTGTCCAGGACAACCAGTGCAGATGTGCAGCCGGTAGGATAGAAAGACACTGTAATCTTGAACACGTCACTGTGCCTCACCCCTCCAAAGGCCACTTGGAGCTGCCAAGGATGTCTCTTCCAGAGGTTTCTCCAGTTAGAGGCTCTACATATCCTCTCTACCTGCTATGCACTGTGATTCTTATCACTATCACCTTGTCTGTTGTCCCTGTGTCCTCAAAGGTGATTGCTGAAGCCTTGGCCCAAGGCAGGATGTATATAAGAGCGCAGATCCCACCTATCGCTACTCCATCCTCCATCCTTTGGTTGGAAAGCCCATGCCGCAGGTATTTATAGACCTGAGAGCCTTTGTTAAGCACGTCTGTTACATTTAGTGACTTTTTTCACAGTGACAGCATGCTATACCAAGTACTTTTCAATCTGCTTAAATAAGGCCAAGCCCAACTGGTGTTTCTTGAGAAGTGAATAAGTCTGTCCTCCCTACCCCACCCCACCCCAGTTTAAAATAGTCATCTTGCTGTCATTTTCATGATGAAATAAGATATGTGAGTGTTTACATTCAAATTAATTAAAATTAAATAAAACTAAAAGTTTAGTTTGTTGTTTGCACCAGTTACATTTTGAGGTCAGCAGACCCTGGAGAAACTGGCTCCCAACTGGATAACACAGA